TTCCTTCCTTCCTTCCTTCCTTCCTTCCTTCCTTCCTTCCTTCCTTCTTTCTATATTAATGCATATAAATACAATTAAAATAATCCAAATTTTAGAAAAAGACAACAGAAGATGTCAAATCCAACAGGGATGTGGGACCCTGAGTGTCACACTGGGGGTCCTACCTCCACAACATAAACATCTATTTGTTTCTCAAAATGTTTAGGTAATTCCAATGGAATGGGAGTAAAACTCAGAATAAAAAAAAAAATGGCCCCAGGTTACTCACTCTTCTTGTAGCTATATAATTCAAAGGCCTTGATATAAGTGAATCAGTGTAAACACTGAATATTTTTGCCTGTCTTCAGCTATTGTGTTTTCTGGGAGACTGAGCAAGGGAGATCTTGTTTTCTTTCCCTCTCAAGGCCTTTTTGTGTGACACAAAGAAATCTGTTAATAATCTCCAGACTATTACAAGTCACACAGCTGTCCTAAGGTTTTAGAGAGGACTTCTTTGAAATGGCTTAAGATTTTAAGCCAACAAGCTCCTAATTGTTATTTGGGAAAATAGTTAAAATGTTGCATTAATCTACTAGCCTGGGACAGAAACTTCACTGAATTCAAAACCTCTCATATGAGTGGAGATTAGAAGAATTTTCCCTCTGGTTGTTATTTACTTAATCTCATAATTTGGCAAAGCATTTCATTTGTTCTAAATGGTTCTTGGGGGCTTAATCTTTGAATGCCAGTTAGTGACTTTTAATCACTTCCAAATTGAATGTTCAGACCTTCTCAGAGCTGTGGTTCTGCAACCAAGTACTTATGTAAATTAAAGGTTGCCTGGTAATGTTCAGTCATTTCAGTTCAGGCTCACTGTGTCAAATAATTAAAGCTAATTGGAGCACTTAATGTTTTGTTTGCTTTTGGAGCCCTGTCAAGCTGGATTTTGGAATGCTACAACAGCTTAGGACCAAGCTAGATACAGTTACATGGCAGGAGAAAAAAGAAAGTCAGAATTTCTCAAGGTCTAAGACCCCAGATTTCTAAGGATTATTAAGAAGCTATACAAAGCCAAATGGCAATTGGTTGTAGAAACAAATGTTAATTAAGGACAATAAGGGAATATGTTCCCTTTAATGAAATAATAAACAAAAAATGGCAAGTCATGGAATAATGTCAGCTTACAAAAGCATTGTAGAACTAGTTCTATGTGACAATTGCTTACTTTAAAAAAACATGATACTAAACTTCCCTCTGTAAAGTGTGATTTATTATCAAATTACTTATATAAATAGAACATTTACTAAAACCCCTCTTTAGGGTTCTTTTTAGCCAGTACACAAAGGTAGTTTCTTTTTACTAAGTGAACTGCAAAACAAGACAAAAGCTAAAAGATTACAGATTTTTAAAAGGAAGGGTTTTTAAAAATGGGACTATGCATGCTTCAAGGTGTATCTGTGTATATATTCATAGATAATTGGGTGAACATTTTGAGCACCTACATTCCATACTTTCACCTAGTACTAAATTTTATTTTTCTAATAATGGCATTTGTTGTTATTGCCTATCTTGCTTTGTTTTTATATTAATATATCATAGCTGTTTGCTCCATTTTATTAAAACATTAATATAGAAGAGTGGGGCAACTAAAATTATCTTAAGGTTTTAATATGTTTGGATTTACAAAGAGTAATATGTTAATATGCTTGGATTTACAAAAAGTATACATATGCAGTGTTTGTTACAGCTAGTCCTCAATTTATAACCCCTTGTTTAGTGACCGTTCAAAGTTACAACAGCATTGAAAAAAGTGATTTATGATTGTTTTCCACACTCATCACTATTGTAGCAACTCCATAGTCATGCGATCAGAATTCAGACACTTGGCAACTGGCATGTATTTATGATGTTTGCAGTGTCCTGGGGTCATGTGATCACCTTTTATAAACTTCTGACAAGCAAAGTCAATGGGGAAGCCGGATTCACTTAACAAGTGTGTCAAGAAGATCATAAAATAGGGCAAAACTCATTTAACATCTGTCTTGTTTAGCAATGAAAATTTTGTGCTCTGTTGTGTTTGTAAGTAGAGGACGACCTGTACCCCTAGAATTTTCCCTTCATTTAACCATGGTTTATATTAAATTTTTAGTAGGGAAAATGGAAGCCAGCTTTCTTAAATCTACAGTTTAAAAGGCTGCATGGAAATAGGGGGTGTCTCCCCACCCGCCATAGAACTCCTTCTCTGAGGATGTCTGATCCGTGCTAGAAGGAAATGAGAGGGTAGAAATATTTTTCTGTTGAGAAATTATGAAAACCTGTTGTCATGCAGGCACTCCATGGAAAACAGTTTTATCAAGTTCCTTCCAAGAATTACTTGGTTTTACCCTGGAGAGTCTGCAAACAGCTCTATTTCTTTACTACCTTATTTCTCCTTTTATTCATAAGTTTGATGCTTGCAGTAACCAAATTCACATCTAATTAGGAAGTGAAAGGGAAATCAGTAAACCCACTAAAAGCTTTTTATCAGCTCCAGTCTTCAATATTGAAACATTAACTACTATGTAAATAAATGGTGAATACTAATTTTCTTTTATAAGGGATACATTTGTATGCAAGAATAAAATAACACATTGCATTAACCCACTCATTTGTTTATTCTCCCCTACAGTTTGTTGAAGTTGAAGGGCAGATCACCTCGTTAGTTGATCTGTACCCATCCTTCCTAAGGAAGGGTTACCGACGGGAAATCTTCATTGCTATAATCTGTTTCCTCAGCTATCTTCTGGGACTATCTATGGTGACTGAAGTAAGGAATTAGTGGTGTTACTTTTCTTTTTCTATTCAATGAAGTTACAATGCAAGGAGTCATGATGTAATGGTAAAACCAGTGCTCTGCACAAGGAAGTTCCCAGGAGATGCTCCTTGCCGTCTTTATTTAGAATGATTAGGTGTTGTGAAACATATATTCTGCCTGAAAAACCTGGAGAGCTTCTGCCCAAGTAAATAGGAGAGAGAGAAAGAATTCTTCAAAGAATTACTCTGCAAATCATTTAAACCTCTCTGTCCTGTCTAAATTTAACACATACTCCAATCTAGATTCATGTCGATTCAAACTTTATAGCATTACTTCTGCTATGATGAAGCATTATATTCTACAAGATTATAATCAACTGTGTAATATACCACATTCTTGTGTGTGAAATAGACAGATACAAAAAGAAGCTAATTAAACATAGAATGTGTGGGAAATTATGTCTATGTCATATTCAGAATATTGTAACATGGCATTCCAGACAATGCCCTGCATGAAAGAAAATACCATGCTTTAGGACAAGGGTATCAAACCCAATTTCATTGAAGACCGCATCAGGGTTGTGTTTGAAGAGTTGACTGGCAATTGTATTTCCTGGCAGGAAATTTTGTGAAGAGTGAGTTAAAAATATAAAAGTCACTTTATTATTTTTACATTGCATGTTTCATGTGTATCTTTGTGTTGGTGCATTAATACCAACTGGGATTCCTTTTTTGTCCTTTTTCAGGGTGGCATGTATGTGTTTCAACTCTTTGACTACTATGCAGCTAGTGGTGTATGCCTTTTGTGGGTCGCATTCTTTGAATGCATTGCTGTAGCCTGGGTTTATGGTAAGTTGGAAGTTAAGTTCTGATATGACCATTTCCCTACAGCAGTACTGAAAGCTACAGAGATCTTGCAACACTTTAATATAGTTCCCAGAGACAAACCGAATAGAGGATAGAGGAAGGACAGAGAGATGAACCCTTACAGGCCAAGGAAGGAATTTATTACATGGCTTCTCTGCATACTGGGGACTCAGCCAAGTACTTCAAACTTCTTGGAAAACATTCTCACTTGACCTCCAAGAAACTGAGTTCATTGCTTTCCTCTTTCTTGTAATGCTTCATTTTAAGGCTGTAAAAGTCTGCCTGACCTCCTAAAGTCATAAAAGGACAGATTTTAAGGGCCAAGAACCACAGTATTCCCCCTCCCTGCATTGTTTTTCATCTGCTTGGTACAAAGAAGGAAACTTATCTATAGAATACCTTAAGTAGCAATGTGCTGTCTGAACGATGCCATCAGTTTTATTTCACAATATCTGGTTAGTTGAATCAACTACACAAGGAGATAAAGGAGGCCCTTTCCAAATTTAAGAACACCAAAGCTTAGGAGAATAAAAGTGTAGAAGAAAAGCAAAAATTAAAGGCTTTCATGGAGCTTTTCACACACTCAACACAATAAATGCATTTCTCCTTGAAAATCTAGCATAGCTACAGAGCACACATAGGCAGAATATGCAGAATAATACAATTACTTTCTTCTGTGCTGAAACTCTAGGCGCTGACAATTTTTACGATGCCATTGAAGATATGATTGGTTACAGGCCTGGTCCTTGGATGAAATGGAGCTGGATTGTAATCACACCAATTCTCTGCGTGGTAAGGCTGGATATGTCTTTGCCTAAACTTGACTTAGAACATTTCTGTAAGTTAGTTTTTTGTTCCTTGCATTGTCTGAAAAGAAATGAGATTGAATAGGTAAGTGTTTAATGAGTAATGTGTTTAATATGTAAACTCTTCATTGATTACAAGATTTTTACTGACCTGTAACTGGCTTATGTAGCTGACATGTTACTTTTGGCATTAAAGGAGCAATTTTGAGGTGAAGGATGGGTTCGTCTAAAATTTTGAGAACATGTAGATAATAGCATCCATACTGAATGATTGTGTGGACATTGTTTTGTTTACTAATTGGCTATCACTGTGATGGTGACTGATGACCCAGGTACTGTGCAGTATTGCACATGCTAACTCTGCCCACATTTTGGAGTTGGTTCCTGATGGGCTTAAGGTTGGCCCAGCTTTCTATCCTTCCAAGACCTGTAAAATGAGGACCCAGATTTTGGGTGGGGAAATATGCTGACATTGTAAACTGCCAAGAGGGAGCTGTAAAACACTATGCGGGTATGTATAAGTCTAAGTGCTATTGCTATTAGTATTTTGGTCTGGTTCTTTTTTCTGGATAAGACTGGCCATTTCCAAACAAAACACTGGACTGTGGCTATCTATTATTTTTGTTTTCTAAAAATGCCTAAGGAACTATGTGGAATCAAGAGTGTCTTAAACTTTCTATGTTTGAATTAAAAGAAACTTCTAAAATAGTCAGTTGTGCAAAGAGTCTGTGCCGGGGTAGAATGCTGCTGGTTCTGCCCAGCTCTATAGAACCGGTAGCTCTGAAGAGCAGCAGACACAGAACCGGTTCTGTGTTTGCTGCTGTTTGGCCCACCCGTCCACCCAGGCTCTTCCCTGTCCTTTATTTCCTGCTTTTTCAACCTCATCTGCTCGGTGTGGCACAGCTAAGGTTGAAAAAACAGGGAAAAAGAGGCTTTTCAAACCCTGCACACCTGTACACTGCACTTTTCAGCTCTCCAAGTGAAATAGCTTAAGGTTCTTTTACATGCACGTGTCTGGTGTGCGCACAGCGTGCACAAAACACAGTCACCGAACCGATAGTAACACCGGTTGAATCCCACCCCTGTTCTGTGCCCAGAGATCCCAGATCACCCATCTGTCTATTAAAATCTTGAAAGACCCTTTTATGAACCACCTTCTCATTGGAGGTAAAGCAAATGCCACCAGCAATAGCTTTTCTACAGTGAGCACCCACATGGTGAAAGACATACATTTTCCTTCTCTAATCATTATGTTTGAGTTCTAAGCACATCCCTTCTGTTTTAAGTAGGAATGCCCAAGTATCCCATTATTCTCCTCTCCAAAGCTTAGAAAATAGTTCATTTGTAAAAAGGTGTTGGACAACTGCAAGGCCTTCCCTGCTGACCTAGCTGAAAAATATACTACGTGAGAAGGCAGAAGGCAGACATAGCAATGAATGCATTGTAAGCTCTTCCAAAACTGGAGATAGGACTAGGTTTTGAACATGCCTACTCCGGGCAAGAATTATATGAATGGCAAGGACATTTGGAAATTTGAATTTAATCCTCATGGAAACAGTCTGTCTTGGCTGTTATTATAAGGTAGCTTGTCTTACGGTAAATTAGTACTTTAGTTGGTGAAAACCGCAGTGTTAGCGATTTCGATATCCACAAGGCTTTTCTGTAAGATTGCCAACTACCCGCTCTTGAAATTCTGATTGTAGCCACTGGACCAAAAATGTACAGTGGTAGCTGGTTGGCAGACTAATGGGAAAGGAAGAGGTTTAGTGTTGATTAGAAATTAAGGCAACATAACTACATACAGAGCACTGTACAAGCAAGAACCTATGTCAAGCTTTCAGTACCATCACTAAATGATTTTTGTGATAATTCAAAGACTCTTTCAGTTGCTGATGGTTGTGCTTCTTTTATTGTACTAGCTGTTAACTAAAATGGCAGCATATTTTTTTAAAACAGCTATAAAGCCACTTGTGGCAAAAAAAAACATCCTATGTGCGTATAAAGATTGTATTTGAGAAGGGTTCCAAGCTTGTTTTTAAAGTCACTGGCATTTGTGGAGCCCAAATTTCTACTTTTTTTTCTTCAGCTCAGCCAGGCAGCAGACTTATACATATTTGTCAAAAACATCCTTTTCTCCAAATGTAATAGAACAGCTGAATAGATTGGGCGGTGTGTTATGCAACTCAAGGTAAAGACAAATAGGCAGTGTTATGGACATATAAAAGACCTTTCTTCTCTGTGGTGTGTGGTAACACTACTCAAGTTAATTTTCATGCTTTACTGCACACCATAATTATTTATACTTGCGGTGAAACTTGAATATTGAAGGAACAAGGAAAACAAAACTGGCTTAGCTGACTTCTTGTTTAACATAACACAACCTAAGTTTTAAAGTACAATTTTATGAACGTTTTCCCTCCCCATTTAAAGATTAATTCATTCCTAAGCTCTTGCAAGGGTTAGAGGGGTACGTTCAGAGTCCCAAGACTCTCAAGAAATACAGCCATCTGTAGGAAGACAAAAAGACTATGAAAACTTAGGAATCAAAAGAGACCCCTGCCCCCAAAACCCCTCTGTCCTTGAAAAAAAAATGTTTATTGTCAATTTCAGTTTCCTTTCATTAGACTAATTACTGCTAATGTAAATCAAAGCTGGGTAATATTTGGGAAGTAAGGGCACAATAGATATGATAATGAAGTGAAGGGGAGGACCCACAATTTTCACACTTCTCCTTGGGTTTGAAGAATTTTTTTAAGAATGGCGTTTGGCTTATTTTAGAGTTTTACATTATCATTTACCTCTAAAAATTCTGTTGATTTTAACAATCACAATTAAAAGGGCTCCAGGGAGCCACTGAAAGGTGTTTGAAGCACTGTTGGTGGCTTACTCCACTGTATAAACTGTTGATTGAAGAAAGCATAATTGTTTCCTTGTGTTTGAATCTTTTTTTGTTTTGTTTCCCTGACACAGGGGTGCTTCATATTTTCTCTAGTCAAGTATACCCCCCTGACCTACAACAAGGATTACATCTACCCTACGTGGGCAATCGGTCTGGGTTGGATACTTGCTCTTTCATCTATGATCTGCATCCCACTGGTTACAGTTATCCGTATTCTGCAGTCAGATGGCTCTCTTCTGGAGGTAAATCCAAAACAACTATCAACTATCAGAACTTTTAAGCATCCAAACAGCTTTGCAGCTGTCTTCCTGATCCCTTAATGCCACAGTTCAGGGCCTGCATGCAGTTTCTACAGCTACAAAGATGTTCTCAAATCATTCATTTCAGCAAATGAGGTTATTTGCACAGGCACTGTTTTGACATATGTTTAGTCTGTTTCTGTATTGACTAGAACAAGGCAAGATTTGGTACAATGTTTAAAACATCTGTCTTATCATATTCACATACTAGAAAAGTGTGCTAAAACAAATTCAGCAGCTGGATAGTTGGAAAATGGAATTCAGACAGGAGAGCTTAAACATTGGTATGCTGTTAAATGAACAAATCAAATTTGTATCACTAGAATTGTAAACGTTCTATCCCAGATTATTTTCCTAAAGCTGAGACTTTCAACTTTTTCAGCCCTGATAGTGTCTCTGTCCTATGGTGAGGAAATGTCTATTATTTTGGGGACACCATAGCATACCATAGCAAGTCACCAAGGCAGGACCATGATATAGAACTTGATCCCTATCCAATAATCAGTGCGTTTTGCTTGACTTTTGCACTATATTTTCTCATATAAAGAACATTCAAGTACTTGAGTACATAGTGTCATAAAATCAACATGCAAATATATATATGCTTTGCATGTTCTGAAGTCAAATTTGTATCCTTTCAACTTCCTGAACAAATCATGTGTTTCCTCGACAACACTGTCTTCAAAAGTGATTTGCCCTTGGCCGAGAAAGAAGGACCAATCCAAAGTCACCCAGCCGGTTTCACACCTAGGACTGGACTGGAACTCATAGACTCAGTTTCTAGCCTGGAGGCCTTAAAACACCATACCAGGCTGACTCATTTATATAGAACCTAGCCATGGAGTCACAGAAAAGTTAGGATAAATTTTGATAGCAGATTTCAAAAAGATTTCCAAGATCAGGAAATCCTGTGGTATTCTCGGGTAGCACGTCTCCCCTTATGCACACTTCATAAAAGTTGCACATTTCATTTGTATCATGTGCAGAGTGGAAAGAGGTAACTTCATTAGCTGCAATATTGAGTTTGGGAGCCACCTAGTGGAAATTTGACATCCTTCCTTGCTTTACTTTCCTAATTGGTCTCCCCCTTTTACACACTGTACACTTTCCTAATGATGAGATCAGTTTTCGCATCCCAGCTTGGTAAGGGGTTATCTTGTAGACAGTGGCTTTTGGAATACCCAATTGGTTGTCACATCATCTATACATAAATTGCTTGATAATGGTCACACTTGCTTAACTAAGCATGTGAATCAAAATCCTTCTGCTATTTGAAGTGTGTGAAATAAAGTAGGGAAAGCTCCTTATTCAGTCTCTTGCTCTACTTCCTCAATGGATAGATAGTCAATTGGAAATTCATAAAGAAAGAGCCATTTTAAAATAGTTATTTTAATCAAACTGAAATGGTACTTCTTGGCTTTCAAGGAAAGATAACAATTTCTCTTATTCCGTTTCATGGTAAATAGCATATTTAATAATATGTATAGTACCTATTGTCTTCATGGCTGTGTGAATTTAGAAAAAGCAACAGCCAATAACTACTGTATTTAAACTTTGCTATATTCCTAAGTTACCTCTTCCTATTGAAATCAAAATAAGCAACATCCTGAATATTTAATATAGCCTTAATGTCCATAAATTTATCTGGGAGTCTCTTAATTTCCACGTATACATTTCTTCCCAGAGGGTGAAGACAATGGCTGCTCCTCGTGAGATCACACGGTGGGACAAAGAAACAGAGGTTGCTGCCACATTTGGCCCTCCTGGCCTGGCCAACGGAGAACTGATCAAGCCAAGTCATGTCATCGTGGAGACAACAATGTGAGCTCTCTCTATGAGAGGAGGACACCTGCTTTAAAACTGCTGTTTACTAACCATAGAATCTTTCATAGGACCAGGTTTACAGAGCTTTATATTTGCACTAGGGTTATTTTTATTTCTCATAGAGAAAAGTAATTTTTGTGTGTGTTTGGTTTTTATTTTTTAATATTTTGTAAAGTAAATCACAGCAGATGGCTGTCCTGCTCTATTTAGAAACAGAGCTTTCATATCAAATTAGGCACACTGCAGGAATTTATCTTCTGTTTTCCACACAGCATATCTAACTAACTTTTATTCATACAGCTACTTTACCATTTTTAGTTGATTCTTCTTGCCAACAGTATACCCAGGCACAATCCTATGCATACTATCTTGCAAATATGCCTCAATGAACATAATTTCTTATGGGACTTACTTCTGAGTAGACATATGTAGGATTGTGCTGATATGTATGCATACATGTACACATATACAAGTTTTAGGTTCCTCTGGGTGTTGATGTGGTTGGGAACAGTGTAGTGCAAAATGTTATTTTGGACTTTTTTAACCAAAAAAAAAAAAAGCTGTGGCATTTTAGAAACTGGTTTTTCAAGGTGTGGCACTATCGTCTGCTAGATACAAAAAGAACTAAAGAGGGAGTACATGATTTTATGTTGCTGTGAACCATGTGACAATATATTTATGTGATAATTGGAAGCTGCAATATTGTAACTTCAATTGTATGCCAGCCATTTTTTTGTGTGTGGGATGGGTGGCCATGTAAATTTGATAAATAAATATAAGCTGGGGTTGGAACTAGGGGAATAATCTGAGCAGCTTGTGAACATGCTCTTAAGAAGGTGGCAGAATCATTCTTGCTAGAAAGGCATTTTAATAATCTTTTGGGGGCATCACTGGAGGAATTGATTCTGCTTTCACTAACAAAGACAGTTTCTCTGCAGACTTAAATACAGAGTACGGTTGAATTTCTCATAGATTTTAGAGGGATTAACTAAAAGATGATGTAAAATACTGGTAAGCCTGAATCTGTCACCTATTGTTATCCGAGCCTTAGACAGGAATATAAATTTGACAGTGTAATCATGTAACTAAAGAGTATAAAAACTGGCCCATTCTTGTAGTCTGCACCTGAGAAAGAAGTCGTTTGGACTTGGATTTTGTTAGAACGTTAGGTTAGTGTCATTAAACTCATTATATAATGTTACATTTACAAAGATGCTGCAAACCATATTTAAAGTCACAAATTTGCCAAACTTTATCTTTGTTAGAACGAAAAAAGGAGTATTGGGCGTGTATCATAGCAGTCAGCTAAGTTGCATAGCGTTGAGTGCAGATGCAGAAAAAAGTGCACTAGAACCTATTGATGAAGCTACTACAACAAAGCACAGAAGGAATACAGTTGAGAAAAGAAAAGAGTAGACTGATATTCACAGGTTTAAACTGTCATCGTGCACTAGAACCTATTGATGAAGCTACTACAACAAAGCACAGAAGGAATACAGTTGAGAAAAGAAGAGTAGACTGATACTCACAGGTTTAAACTATCATCGTTGTGCGCTAGAACCTATTGATGAAGCTACTACAACAAAGCACAGAAGGAATACAGTTGAGAAAAGAAAAGAGTAGACTGATATTCACAGGTTTAAACTGTCATCGTTTATATCCATTGATCCAAGGAAACACAAGGAGATCAAGTAAGCTATAAATTTATTTTAGATTGAACGAGGCATAAAATACTCAATGGGAGTTTTATTGGTAAGTTCCCCACTTTTCCCAAAATGAGGATTTGCCTCTGGAAAACTCACCCCAAATCCTGCGAAGCTTATGTTTTGTTTTCAACCTTCATTGAGTAGTGGCTCAATTCTTTTCCATATGGGCATTGATCTTGGGGGAAGGGTGCCCCCTTTAAGCTTTTTATTGGTAATAAACACAATTTGAGCAAGGTTGTGAGCCAGAAATAGCAAAGCCCCTTTCCTTTCTGCTAATTTTGTCTGTCAATCAAGATACTGTAGTCGAAACTGGAATTTAGCCAGTATTTGAAAACATTCCTATATGCTTTAAGAAAAGAAAGAAATTAAGAATCAGTTTGTGTCTTATGCTCTCTATGGCCACTGCATATGCAATATGCACATACTTGTTATGTTAGTTTTATATATATATAAAAAAGAACTGTAAATAAAGGACCAAAACAGTTATTTCAGGTGTCTTGTTTAGCTAATATTTGTTTGTGGATGGAGTCTGTGATTTATTTTATTTGAGGGAACAGAGCTTGCAGTATATGCAGGAGGCCATGAACAGAATGCTTTGCTTTCTTGTTACCAAGAGCTGATGAGTAAACACTTCCAGAGTACAAATCCTTTGGAAATGTTTATCTTCCTACTATACTGAAAAATGGCCAGTAAAAAGGTTAGTTACAGAAGAGGCAAGGAAGCCAAGAGAAAGCTACTATGTGGCTTCATTTTTTGATCCTGCAAAACCAAAGATGCAGGGCATTGGTATTGCAAACCCCATTGCATTCCAGATTGGACTGCAGCTTAATTAAATGAACCACAAGTCCTTGATATCATTGAAGACAGCAAGAAATTAGGATGAAGGCGAGTTTAACAGTTCATTCACTTGACTTCCCTGGTGCATTTTACATGAAAGATAGTGCAATATTTTGCTAGTTTCTAGAACAGCCACTGAACCAAAAGCAGATATATCAGCCAAGGGACTACGCTAAAGCACATGGCATGAGATGATGTTTTTCAAGAACAAACCAGAGAATCAGTCCCATCCTGTAGACTTCCATCTAAGATGAGTAGAACCCAACCCATTTCAAGGTTAAACTGTGCAATCAGAATCAGTTCTTTCCAGCTAAAAAAGTAAACAGGTTTTATAGTCATGACCTGAAGTCATGAAGGACTCTTACAAGGAAAAAAAAAAGTTAATCAGATTGTCACATAAGATTCAGCCCATCAACCTTCAGTTTGTTTCAAGGATCATATTTTCACATAGCAAAACTTGTGAATAATAGAATGTGTTATATCTGAATGTTAAGAATAGATTCTGCCAAATAAGGCCAATGGATGGGGGTGGGGTGGGGTAGGGAAAACTATTAATCGTTTGTATTTTCTACTTATTTATGACTACAAAAAGATTGATTTTTTTTTTCTAATTCACTTTGTAGAATTGTGTGGCCTATTTTATCCATCATTTGTAATGAAGAAGTTAAATATTCAGTATTGTGACTAACTTGTGGGTGAATTGGTTTGGATATGGGGTGGGTGGGGATATTCTTAATGTTTATTCAAAGACATTGTATTTCCAAAAAAGGGGGTGGGGACTGGGAGGAACATTAGAGTGCAACAGTTCATTGTCATGGAAACATGGTTTGTTTTCTAAACTGCTCTAGATGTGTATAAGGTTAAAAAAAAAAGGTTATAGCAGCATTAAATGGGCATTTGCTAATCAAAACAGTTGGACATACCTCTGTTTGCAACCAGCCATTTCAGGCTTGTTTCCAATCAAGGCAAGCTCTTTAGATGTCTGGAAATGTGTCCTTCTCTTAGTCCAATCTTTCAAGCTGTCAACATTCTCACAAATAACCATAGTACTAATGGAAGGTATGGTTAAATAATTGTATAACTAATTCACATTTCAAAGTATATTGTCTTTAGACATTTGTACTTGATTACAATGAAACTAAACTTACAAGGCAGAATAAGTATCAGCCCAGCTGAAAACCTAATGGAAATAAATTATTTGATCACTAACTGTTGAATGGCCATAGAAGCAGGAATAGAGATATGATGAGAAGAGGAAGAACTGGGGGACAGATGGTTTCTAATATAAGAAAACCTAAAATAAATAAAATAAAACCTAAAATAAATGGATAAAACAGGGGCCATAGCTTGTTTAGCTAAGATGGCCCAAGACCAGAGTTTTTTTCGTTAACATAACCACTCTTACTCCATAAATTCTTTACATGCACAATTGCTACAGATATAGGGCAAAAATAAACCAAAAGTGATTCTCTACTGAAAAACAATCATAATCCCCCAAAAGCACAATTTTTAATTGAATGTTTATAGCAATCAATCCAAAATTGAAACTCAACTTTTTAAAGTTTTTTTAAATGTATCCTAAACTAAGTATCTTCCCTTGCTGGAAAGCAAATCAGGAACACTTCAGCCCATTCAACACTCTTGACTAAGTATCTAGTTGAGTCATCAATCTCTCTACTCCCCTACATTTGCCCTGTATTATAGCCACTGATAGAATTTAAAGTCATGTAGTATTAAGTAATCTTGATAAATCTAAAAGATGGCTTTTGCAGGTCTATACTGGTCTACCAAAAAAGATCACGCTCAATGCTAATCACTTGGCAGGGAAAATGTAATTTTAGACAATCACACATAGCCTTCTTACAGTTCCATCTTTGGCATTAGTATATTCCATCTGCCCATGTCCAGTTCTGTATCCTGTTTAAAAGGAATAGCGGCCTGCCTAATCTGCATTTCATTTAAGCTAAACTACTCTGATTCTGCTATGCAGGAGAAGTGGAAAAGAAAAATGCAATATGCATGCTCTTTTCAGGAAAGAAAATAAGGCCATGCACTTTATGAATATAATATTATTCTGTGACATATATTTCTATCTGTAGAATTAGATCAGAAACTTTGCTTCACAAATTGGATCCAAATCTTTGGAAGAGAATCAGTATTTTTCTATCGAAAAATGTGGCAAAAGGAAAATAATGCATTATCTAAAAATAATAGAAGTTGACATTTGCAGATTTCAAAATACACTCTGTGCAGATTTGGCCAAAGAGAATACTTGTTCCAGAGATCTACAGACTCATTCTAAACATGTACTTGCAAATAAGCCATACCATGTTCAGTGGAACTTCCTTTCTAGTGGCTGTGCTCAGGGCTAGAGCCCTAATCTTACAGTTTGTGGCTGGGCTCAGGGAACATGCAGAAGATGTCTAACCCACATTTGCTGAGTCCTGGTCATTTCAGAAGCCAAGTGGACTAAAATAGCTGTCTTTCTGAACATCCTGTTCTAGACTACATAGTTAACAAGCTCTCTTGGGAGCGAGAACTAGATTGCATAGTTAACGAGCTGTCTTGGGAGAAGAAAGAGGACTAACAAGCTCCCAAATTACCCACTAATGATTCGCAACAGCCGTTACACAGCAACAGGCAGACTGTGACACTGTAGTCAAATCATGTTGAGCGGCTGTGACATTTGCTAGGAATGGAGAGAGTTGGATTGTGAGTAACTAAATGGTAGCCTGAGATTGTTCACTAATGTGTCTCCCCACCGGATCTTAACCTGTCAGTGCAGTACTCTGATAAATTCACTGTTGTAATAGAACGTTCTTGTGTCATTACTGTAGTTGTGCTGTTGCAATCATGAAAGGAATGCCACTCCAGAGATTTTATGGTTATAAAATAAGGCAGACATCTTTATTTCTACTGAAAATGTTGGTGTGCATTTTTAATTCTGTAAATCCACAATTATTACTAATGAGTAGCTATGTGGATTAAGAGGACACTATCCTCTTTTTAAAAATAATTTTTAGAATAATTTTTTAAAAAAGTTTTAAAATTGTCATCATTGTTCCAGAAAGGAATATTTATATAGGAGTAAGAATTTGGCTTGTATTCAGCCCTGAACATTAGGTGTTTTTTGGTACATGTACACAGTAAATGTTTGTATTTTGCAGTTTTATCTGTTTTGCTTTTTAGATAAATGAAATGGGTATCAATATTTTAAAGTCATTTTGCTTTTTTAAGATGAGTTTGTAATCATTGCAAATAAACAATAAAAATCTTTCATGTATAAAGTGAATAAATCATTCTTGTGGGCTTTTTTTCCTCTCCAAAGTTTAGTTTAATTTTTATTTTATGTGTTAAGCTAATTTATTATGGTGAGCGGTAGCTGCCTGATTTATTACAGAGGATATTGAACAGCTGGTAAGTAAATAAATAAATATCAATTTTCTCTAAATGAACCAACCCTTGTGAAAATTGACATTGAGCAAAGGAAGTGTTCTCATATAATTTTCGCATGACTGTGATTCAGAAGAGGAATTATTAATTCATTATGCTATGTGTTCTAAAACAGGGCATTGCAAGAAGACATGTGCATTGTTTTAATTTTCTTGAGAGGACACAGTCAGAGTCATTCTTACATGGAATATTTTGACATTTTCTCCAAGGGAGATAAAAAAATGTATCAGGAAAGGTTAAGGGCTCTCCTCAAGATGGACAAAGGATGTTGGTTAGTATTCTATCAGAGTCAGTTTAATCTTAGTGTTGAAGGCACCGAGCTAAAACCCAGGAGACTCTGAGTTCTAGTCCCACCTTACTCATGAAAGCCAGCTGGGTGACCTTGGGCCAGTCATTCGGTCTCAGCCCATTCTGTCCCAGCCTCCCTCACAAGGTGGTTGTTGGATGGCAAATAGGAGAAGGAAGGTGGATAACTCACTGCCTTGAATTATTTGTAAAAAATAATAAAGGCAGGAAATACATACATACATAAAGTCTCCCAGACACCCATGGTTACAGACGAATAGACATTTTGAGCAAATCCTCTTGAATGCTTCAAATTTAACCATGTTTTTCTTGGTCCAAAGGAGATCAAATTATTAACAAAAGAATTATAGAAGAAGTAGACCAGCTAGGATTCCTTCCACATGGATAAGAATACATCCAAAATGAAGGAGGCCATAGCATTACTAGGAAAGGGTAATTTCATGGTATAATTCTGCAAGAGAGAGCCATCCCGTGCCTTAATAGGCAGCACTTGATGGCTACCCAAGGGTCAGACCTCTGAATAATACCTGCCTAAAATGGCTCAAAGATGTTAGACAAAGGACTCTATGTTAGAAGCAATATTTTTTAACATGAACTGGAAATAAGAAGTCAGTGTATAGGTGTCTACTGTCAGCCTCACAGTTACTGTAAAATTAACGTAGTAGCAAATTTGAGTTCTGGTGATTTCATAAACATATTTCTGTAGTTATTTGTAAAGTTATGTAGCAAAGTAAGAATCAGCACCATGATCAAGTTGGGTACAAGAGGCACCATTTTTCCAGAATGTCAATAGCAGAATGTAGAACATGTCTAATGCTGCCATCTTACAAATACTTCCTTGGAGTAAAGGTCTATCAGTAAGACAAGATATCTTACTTGTTTCCTTTGCTCCTATTATAAATCTTTTGGCTCTCATAATGATCATAAAGCTAGAGCTACCTTTGTGGAAGTAGAGGTATACCTTACACTGTGATAAGTTAACTTTCTAAAGAAAACATACATTATAATTTATTTTGCTTTATTTAATTTAAAAAAAATCTAAGGAATTGTAATACCATTTAAATACACAGATTTACAAATAGGTCCAAAACAGGACTAAAATATTCTTTGAATATTGTGCTTTCATAGATACATAAGAAAATTAGCATATAAAAATACTTTGTACAGGAATACACTCTAATATATGGATAAAAATACACATTTAATGCATTTCATTTTTATATCATTCAAAATGCATAGGAAGGGATACAAGGACCATTTTTAAAGCCTTATTAAAAGTCTTCATTAAAAACCTAATTGAAGCCACAGGGAGCTTCTGCCATTATGAGAATATTGCATATAAAACCCCCATTTTCCACACATCATCAATATTTTTTTTGTTTATTTTATGGCACATCATCTAGGTTATGGCAGCGATGGTATGGAATATTGCATACTTTGAGAAGAGAGAATGGCTACAGCTAGACACAGCCCAATAAGAGGCATGCACATCTTAATAAGAAAGTCACAGAGAGCAGTGCTGTGAAGTAGCAAAAAGAAAAAGAAAAAAAGAAATATACGCTCACAGCTTGGGTTGGGTTCAGACCAAAAACAACCTTGGATCAATGGACTTATCTAAAGGGTATTTCCAATCTTGACCAAAACATGGCATCTTGATACGGATCAAAACAGTAGAAAATGACTACAAAATTAAAATTACTAGAAAGGAAAAGAGGAACCAGTTTGCCCATTCACTGAACTAAATTCCCAAGGAAAGGTCAACTTAAATAGTCACAATAAAGTGTGGTTCCAGAACCCACTAGTGGACTGGCCAGGGAGGAACCACAAATCCTGGCATTTTCCCCTTTTGAAATGAAGAAATCATGGCTTCTTTTAAAATTGTTAACTGTAGGAAGATCTTTGAAAGAATGTGAATATCACACACAGCAATGCTACAAGAGGATTTGACTCGGGAGGCTGATGCAAAGTCCTGGTTTACAAAGGCTTCATGCTCACAAGTCATAGGGGGAAAAAAGGTAATTCTAGAAAAAGACAGGGATGCTGCTACTGATAGGTTACAACAAAGTGTCAAGCATCATCGTGGGGTTAAACAAATGTACACATTGCACTGGTGCAATCCACAGAGGGTGTACTTGGAGGTACAATATCAATCTAGAGACACACTCATGCTACGGAGTAACCGAGGTTCCTTCCACCACCACCATCACAGATCATTAAGAGGGAGAAGACGATGCAAGTGATTTATGTTCAGCTGCCCACTCATAACTCGGTACAGAGAGAACATCTGAGAACAATTTTGGGGCTCTGTTTGTGCTCAAAAATAAATAGATGGTCCAAGAGACTTTATGTTCCCCATGAAATGCTATACAATAAGTTCTTTCAAGAAATGGTGCATGGAGAGTAAGAAACTCAGTAAGAAATTAAGCTGGACAATATTTTAAAGGTGAAACTTATTTCTGTTACCATCCAAAGAATATAAATTATGGGGATTTTGAAGGTGAAAAGTGTTTCTGGTATTTCCCAAAGAATAAATTATGGGGAAGGTATTTGTCAGAGCTTCATCTTCCCGATGAACTGGTTGCCTTTTAAATTAAATCCAAAAGTAAAATGTGCACTTGGTGACAAAAGGATCCATGACAGTGATCTGTGAGTGTGCAGGGGAACTGGAGAAGGGGCTCAGGGAGTGTTGTAGAGATGTCTTTCACACAAAAAGGGGGGAATCCGTTTTAAGATTAACTTCACTTGATTAAACAAAACAAAAACAACACCATGTATCCAAGTCCTTCAAGACTGGGGAAGAGAAGCTTGTGCTCTATTACCCCATCCATTGGAAACACTCATATGATGAGGAAGGGTGTTCTGTGGATGAATTATTCTGGGTGTTGCTGTCAGCAACTGGCTCATCCCTGACTAGTTCACTCCATCTCAGCTTGAACCTTCAAAGCCAAGCTGTGTTGGCTTCAAAATGTGATTGGTTGGGGGAGAGGAAACATCTCTTCACAGCAACTGACATTACGCAGATTAAGCATAAACACGAGTGCAAAAGAAAACAAATGAACGACAACCCAAGCAAAAAACCCTCACACACCACACAACAGACACCCATTAATTCCTTTAGCTCCCACAGAACCTTGAGAAGAGCAGACACCAAACCTAGCCGTCCTTCAGAGTGTCTGTGTGCTTGTCTTCACCTCCCCTCCAACCGACTGCTGGTCTGGAAAGCTGCTTGGCTCCTGTAGGCAAGTATTGGCAATGAAAGCCAGGGGGTTTCGACTGATTACAACGTCCAACTTATTTCCTGCCTCAGATATCAGAGGAACAGCCAGAGAGCAATCAAAGTCCCTTGTACGGATGCAATTCACCTGAAAGAATGGAAAACCCATGGTGAGATAAGAGGAAAAAATAAGGAAAATATGGAGAGATGGGGGCAAAATCAAGCAACTGCTTCTTTGCAAAATAACCTTGAGGGCAGCCAAGTAACCTGCCCCGATTTATGATCACAATTGGGACAGGAGTTTTCATTGCTAAGCAGGGTGTTTCTGAAGCAAGTTGCACTTGGTTTTACATCCTTTTATTGCCATAGTCATAAAACAAATCACTGTGATTGTTAAGTGAATCACATGGTTGTTAAGAAAACCTGGCTTCGCACATTGACTTTGCTTGGCAGAAATCATCTGGGAAGGTCGCAAATGGTGATCGTGTGACCCTGGGACATTGTAACTATTGTAAATATATGTTGGCTGCCAAGGAGCCAAAATTTAATCGCAGGACCTTAGGGGTTCTGCAACGGTCATAAGTACAAGGACTGGTTGTGAGTCACTTTTTTCAGCTCTGTCATAGCTTTAAATGGTTGCTTAATGAATGGTGCTAAGTTGTGGACGACCCAGCCCATGCCAAATCATATTCTGATGTATTTCAAAACTGAATACCTATTTACTTGGGGAAAAGAAACATATAAGGATGTGAAATGTTGCATTCTTGCAGTCCCCTTAACCTCCAGACTAGAGTTTCAGAGCCAAACGTGAATTCTATCACATCCCTTATCTGGCAGCCTCACTTCCAAAATATACTGGCCACATTAGCTTTTCAGTTATGAAAAGCTGACCTGTATACTTTTGCAACCCAAGAGAGAAGGGGACGATTTAAATGTTAAGCATTTTGAGTTTTCCGCCTTTTTCTCCCTTTTACTTTCTCTCTGACAGGCACCACAAAAGGCAATTCTGACATGAACAATATGGAGGATCACTAATAGTAGCGGTAACACTTTTGCAGTGCCACAGTAACAACAACCACAAACAATTAACAGCAATAAATGAACCACGAGAGCAGGAAAACTGTACCAACTGCCTCTTTCGATATTTTAGGAAGAATGGCTGAGAAACAAATGTACTCATCCCAATAGGGTGGCATGCTGAAGGCCTTCCCTCTTTGCAATATCTAAGCAGGGTTGGGAAAGATCCTCTGTTCCATCATGCCAGAAGGTGGCTGCCCTTCATTCGGATGGCCTAATATTCTTAGAACTTAGAGGATTTAGAATAACTTTATTGTCACTTGAATGTATACTAATCAGCATACATTAAAATGAAATTTCGTTGCATACGGTTCTCAAAGGGTCATCACCTCCAATATACACTACATAAACATGGCACAATAAATAAATGGCACATACATACATACATACATATGCATGTACTCTCAGATATTATATGACACAGAGAAACTAACACAGTCTAGTTTGGATGTATATATATGTACATGACAAGAAAAATGAATTTGCAAGTTTACAGATGACATAGGGAACAAAGTTCTTAAGAGAATCTGGTAGTCCTGCTAGAAATACTTTGAAACCTCCTCCCAGAGGGGAGCAACAGAAACAGACCACAAAGTGGGTGGGTGGAGTCTCTAACAACACTTTGAACTCTAAGTACACAACACCTATAAGCAGTATCCTAAATAACGGGAAGGGAGCTTCCTGTAATCTTCTCGGCTGTCCTTTCCACTCTCTGTATGGACTTTCTATCTGAGGCACTGCTACCACCAAACCAAACAGAGATGCAGTTTGTTAAAATGCTTTCAATTGTGCCTCTGTAAAAAGTGGTCAGGACAGAAGGAGAAAGATGTGTTCTTGTCATATGATGCAGGTAATGCAGATGCTGGTTTGCACGCTTCACTAACGATGACATGTGGAGAGACCATCTTGAGGGGGATGCCCTTCTAAAAATGGCAGGGCTTTCATGGCTATGGTGGGGTCAGCTAGTTATGTTGTGACATTACTGCAATAAGTGTGATTAAGGTTGGGTTTGGGGGGTGAGGTTCTAAAAGTGAATCTCCTTCTAAATTTTAAATTCTCTCTAAATGTGAATTTCAAGAGCAGACCTGTAAATTTTGTCCTCAGTATGCATGTGCCTCAAGGACAACTGTGTGGCCCATGGGTTGCACTCGCTAGCTATAAACACATACAGAGTAACTCCTGGAAGGTTTTTTTGTTTTCTATTTTGATTCCTGAACTGCTGTGTTTAATTGTGAAGCATAAACAAAAGAGAAAAGAGTCTTGGGAGACTGAAAACCAGACTACCTTCAGCAAGAAGCAGGCATGGGCCTAGATTCAAGGGCAACAGTGGAAAAACTATGGATATAAGGATGGGCAAATAAGATGGCAAAATGCATCTAATGGAAGAGGCTTTCACTGTGGCTTATATTTCTGAAAGGGAAATAATGGAATTTTTTGTTTCCTACTAAATGTTTCAGAATAAACATATTTCTAAGGAAAACAAGAGGTGGACAGAACTGGATTTTAAAGAACTATGTCTCAGACTGAAGATCAATATACTTTCTAATTTAAAATTTAATTCCTGGGTACTGGACAAAGTATTTCCTATCTTCCCAGTGACTAAATAATAATGGAAAATATTTTTCCCCTGCAGGTAGAGAAAAGAGGTCAGAGAAAGGAGAGAAGTTAACTGGCAGAAAAAACAACAACAATGGCCTCCTTCATGTTGTCTAGCAAAGTTTTGAATCAGGGTAGTCCTCGATTTACAACAGTTCATTTAGTGACCATTCAAAGTTACAATAACACTGCAAAAATGACTTATGACTGTTTTTCGCACTTATGACCATTGCAGTGTCTCCATGGTCACATGATCAAAATTCGGATGCTTGGCAACTGGTTCATATTTATGATGGACAGATGCAGCATCCCAGGGTCATGTAATCCCCTTTTGTGACCTTCTGACAAGCAAAGTCAATGGGGAAACCAGATTCACTTAATAACTGGATTACTAGACTTGGTAAGCGTAGTGGCTAGAGTGCAGTATTGCAGGCTAACTCTACTGCTTGCCAGCAGTTCAAATCTCCCCAGGCTCAAGGTTGAAGTCAGCCTTCCATCCTTCTGAGGTGAGTAAAATGAGGACCCAGATTGTTGGGGGGCAATATGCTGAATCTGTAAACTGCTTAGTGAGGGCTCTAAAGCACTGTGAAGTGATATATAAGTATAAGTGCTACTGCTATTGCTACTAACTTAACAACTGCAATGATTCACTGAACAACCGTGGCAAGAAATGTCATAAAATAGGGCAAAACTCACTTAGCAATTGTCTCCGAAACATAAATTTTGGGCTCAATTGTGGTTGTAAGTTGAGGACTACCAGTAACTCATTTCTGAGGTAAACCAAGAAGTATAGAAAGGAAAGCTGGTTACTCCCTTTTTGCTGGTTAAAAAACAATGGTAAACAGCAAGGTGTGGAAAAGATTTTCTTTGGAGCTAAGGCAGAGGGGAAAAGAAATTAGCTACAACCATGATCCTGTTTTGCTACTCCCCTCACCATCTGTTTTTTAATTTCTTCTGTGCCCGAAGGGAAAGCCATCTATCCTTCCAATCTCCCACCCCCCAGACAAATCACAGAGATTTGTTGCTTTTTTAACATGATTTTGTTTTAATTGGAATGCTTTTATTACCTACTTCCATTTCCGTTTGCTTTTATGGTTGCTTGTTTATCTAATTGCCTTTATTGAAGATTGCTTGTTCTCACCGGGCTCCTTTGGGAGGAACGGTGGAGAAGAAGACAATGACAAGCAAAAAATAATTAAAATAACTAAGTTGATTTTCTCAGCATGATGACTGGGTGGTGGAGAAAGGGCAGAATTATGGAGCAAAGTTTAGCTGAATGCCAGTGCTCTAGAACTGAAGGCCAGATTTGAACCAAAGGTGCTTTTTTAGGAGACAACTGGACTTTCTTGTTTTTTGTTTTGAAGATGTTTCACTTCTCAATCCAAGGAGCTTCTTCAGAATCTGAAGAAGTTTCTTAGATGAAAAGCAAAAGCACCTTTGGAATAACCATGACCTGGATGATTGAAAATCTCTACAGAAGGCCAGATTTAAGAACACAGACATAATTTTAAACGAGGGACACAAACACAGCTGCCTCACTGTAGGTGAAATTACATAATGTGAAGAAAGAGGGAAGGTAAGGCTGTTTCAGGTAGGATCTCTCAATAATCACAGGTAGCCAATGACTTTTAGATGAGCATACCAGAGGTGGTATTCAGGAGGTTCTGACCAGTTCTGGAGAACTGGTAGCGAAAATTTTGAGTAGTTTGGAGAACTGGCAAATACCACCTCTGATTGGAAATTTTACAGTATCCTTTCCTTTACCACACCCATCAAGCCATGCCCATAGAACCGGTAGTAAAATTGTTTGAATCCCACCACTAGAGCATACACATCTAACAACTGTTTAAGAAACCATTTTTCTTCCCCCATCCCATTGTGATTGATTACCTGGAGAACTCTGTCATAAGGCTTGAGTCCACACTGGTCAGCTGGCCCACCTGGACGGATCATATTCACATAGACACCCTTTTCTAGTAAGCCATCAGAGATACTGAACCCAAAGTCTTCAGTTTCAGGATCCTTGTAAATTGTCATCTATAGGAAAAGGCAACTTTAATTGGGATGATGGTAAAAATGAAGTTGGACATACGAGATCGAGATTAGACAAGAGGAAGAGTGACATTATAAAATATTCAATAACTCGGTTGTCCCAAGGGTGCTTTTTCAAAAGGCCACTGGACTTTGTTTTTCTTTGAAGATGTTTCACTTCTCATCCAAGGCGCTTCTTCAGTTCTTATAAGTGTCTTCAAGGGAAAAAATGGAAAAACAAAGTCCAGTGGCCTTTTGCAAAAACACCTATGGGACAACCATGACCTGGATGACTGAGAATTTCCGTAAACATTCAACTTGGGCAACATGAAGTGTCCATAGTAACACTCTAGCTTATTTTTCAGACCCTGAAGACTTGAATTCAAAACCTTATTCCATGGGATAACTTATACTTACCCAACCTGATTGTTTTAAAAAATAGAGATGAGAGATGCCTTACCAAGGTTTGTTAGTTTCTTTTCCTTGAAGGAAAATTGGATTACAGGTAAATAAGGCCTGTAAACTTGTTATATTGCAGGAGCATTTTTAATTTTTAATTGAGTCACCCACAGATTTGTGCCCATGAACCCAGATAATACAACTTTTATTCTGCTCCAAAAATGTGACACTGCTTTATTGAGAATATTCATGAAGCCAATAGAAACCATAGTTCCTAGATGGACAGAAGACACTTATGTGGAGGAACCTCAGTCATTCACATGACAATAAAAATAATAAAAGTATATAAAGGTAATTGAACTCCTGCATTCACTTGAGCATTTCACAGCTACCCAGTACAATCATTGAAAGCTTTGCTGACTAGGCATTTAGCCATCCAACCCCATCCGTTTATTGCAGATAAAACTGCATCATGCAGTAACTACACAAGTCAGTCTGAAAGATGCAAAGTCTATGATTGGCTTTGGGTCATTTGACTATATTATCATTAATTATCCTCAATGCTAAGGTCTCCAATATACTCTGGACACCAATCAATTCCTTATCCACTCACCTTTTAACGTTCATTAGATCCCTTTTTTATTTTTTTTTAATGGGAGATTGATACATTTCAAAACAAGGTACTAGTATCATCATTATTCTAAGAATTCCTATGGTTCCATATTTGTTTAGATTTATTCTTTTTAAAAAAGGAGGGAGTTCATCACAACACTATGCATTACAGTATTTATGTTGTGTTTCTATCTCAAAAGACAAATTGAGCTGGAAAAAAGTAGAAGACACTTCTGAGGGGGAAGAAGGAGAAAGATCAGAGTTGGAGTAAAGGACATCCTCACCAGTTTGTCTTATTTGGTAAACAGCTCCCAACATAAGAGCTATGTTAATGGTCAAGCTACCTAGGGACAGGCCTTCTGGTGTGTTCCAAATTCCAAATGTGCTCTTTGTTCTTAAAAACTGAAAAGTGGACAATCCTTTGGTGTTGAAATTGGTATCATTAGCCATGCTGTGTTCAAGTTTCAAGAAGGGGGAAGGTACCTTTATAAGATACCCACAGATGATCTTTCTCTGTGTATTGGAATGGCCTGTACTCTTCATATGATCTCCTTCTAGTTTAGTTTAGTTTAATTTAGTTTACTTTATTGTCACTGCACCTCATATAATGGAATCAAACACCATTCTCAGTGAACAACATGACCATGACCATGAAAATAAACACAAACACACATCCTTCACCCTTTACACATTGAACCAGAAACCCCCAACACCACACCAACACTGCACTATACAGCAGAATTCAAAAGAGCTACTGCCCTGGGATAGAACCTGTTTTTCAGCCTATTTGTCCTGGTTTTTATTACTCTGTACTGTCTGCCAGATGGTAATAGTTCAAAAAAAAAGGGTGCCCAGGATGAGATGGATCTTTGAGAATGTTTTGAACTTTCTTAAGGCAGCAGGAGCTATAAAGCTCTTCCAAAGAGGGGAGAGGGCTTGGGTGAGATTAAAAAGAAGGCAGGAAAGTAGACAGATTTCTAATTAGGGAAACAAAAGAGAATTAAAAGTACATATTGCCTTGTGTCAAAGAGGCAGGAGAAAGCTTTTTGATGGTTAGACAGGAAACAGAATGAGAGAAGGAAGTAAGGTTTAAAACACTACTGTTTTAAAAGGCTGAGTTAGGGTGAATGGTCTTTTGTAACAGAGATGCAGAGTTTTTTGGGATCCGAATACCAGAGTTGGATAAGTTAACAATCAATATTCACTGGGTGAAATCACTTGGGTTTTAGCCAACCCGCTGCAAGTTATCCATGAAAAGACTGGAAAAAGATTGTGACAGAGTGGGTTTTTGATGGCTAGCCAAGACCAGAAAAGTTTCTTCACCTGCCTATTCTCTCTTTCCAACACCCTTATAAGGCACTAAGCTTGGTGGCAGTAATGAGACCATCATGCTGAACAAGGGACATACAGTATATTTTGAGAACTGCCTGGTTGAAGGAGCTCTCAGGGCAGAAAATAAAAATATAACTACCTACCATGTAAAGTGCTTTTTTAAAAAATAAAATAAAATAAATAAAGTTGTTCAAATGAGTTATGATTTTATTTTCTCCACAAAGGCAATTAGTACAAAAATGTAGAATTCATATTATTAATCAAAACAGCATATATCTATATTGCAATCAGGTATGCTAATGGGAGCCCTAAATAATACAGCCTTAAAGTTGCCATTTTTCCATTTAGTGAATAGCCATGTTTCTCTTGAATCAGACGTATATTCCAAAAGTCTTCAATTAAAATTAATTTCAAGAAAGCAGAGGCAAGAAATAAAATAAATAATTTTTTTTTTTTTAAGAAAAGGAAGGCAGAGGCAAGAATTCCTTTAGAAGTCAGAGGTTTTGATAGCAACAAGAAGAATTCAAGACTAGCTTCCAAGTTATTGGATTGAACATCCAGGTTAATTTCTAGTTAATTTCTTCAAGCCTATCCATATATTAAGTTAAAAGCAAGTTAAAAGCAATTATCAAAAGTCAACACAAATTTGTCAAGAGCAAGTCTTGCTATATCATATATTTTTTTCATCAATTACCTTTCTAAATTTCTAAATGTAGATGTACTACATACCAGTTTTTGCAAAGCATTGAAAAAGTAATCCATTACATTTTTATTAGCAAGCTAGCTAAGTGTGGGTTAGGTGGATTGGACAGTTGGCGCTTAAGTATATGACAATTAAGTTGACACTTGGCTCAAAAATTCCTTAAGTGTTCCTCATCAAATTGATGTCAAATGGGATTCATTTCCAGACCTTGTACTATACCAAGGGAGGTAGGGAAGTGTGAATAAATATATAAGTGTGTGTGTGTGTGTCTATGTGTGTCTGTAAATAAAACCACTCATATTTTATTGAATTTCTTAATACAATATCATGACTCCTGCTGGGTTTTTAACCCCTGAGAAAAACAACTGGAGAACTAAGAAGTCTGTAAAAGTGGCATAAGGCAGATTTTAAATCTTGGAAGGCCCACTGAGACGTATTCACTGAGGTAAAATACAAGCAAAGATGGAGGGAATTAGGATTGTTTTCTAATAGCTGTCCATAATAATAAAATACCACAAATTTGCTTGAACACGGATTATGGTTAGCTTTGAGAAGTAAGACAAAAAAGCAAATAAGAAAGGGAATGTTATCCAGTTTAAAACAGGTTGCTTCAGGTTACTCTCAAATGAACCCTTAACTGTGTAAATAGAGCGCTTGATTTTTAACTAAATCTTGAAGTAGTTCCAGTAACCAAAAGTCTTGTGGGAAAGGCTGGCGCCAGAGTAAATATTCTCATGCAAGTGGTTAATGGTTTACATGTCATTAGATATCTCTGATAACCACAGAATTTGTATTTTGAGCCTTCAGTTTTTCAGAATGATAAACACCAGAAAAGAAAAACATCATTGTGGGTCCAGTACAGGAATCCTCCCCCAGTCTCTGCATGCCAGCAATAAAATGGTATTTGGACAATTATGAAAAACATAGCAGACATTCTCTTGTCTCATTCCTTTGCTTTTTCAAAAGGCAACTGGGCTTTGCTTTTCCTTGAAGAAGTTTTGCTTCTCATCCAAGAAGCTTCTTCAGTCCTGACTGAATGATAGAGAATGGAAGGATTTATATTCCTTGCAATCATCTGGTCATTAGCGCTCTATCTGAGAGAAGAACCAAAGAAGTTTTTTGGATGAGAAGCAAAACATCTTCAAGAAAAAACAAAGTCCAGTTGCTTTTTGAAAAAGCACCTTTGGGACAACCATAACCTGGATGACTGAGAATCTCTACAGACATTTAGACATTCTTATGCCAGGCATGTGGGGAACTCCATTCTTTTGATACTAGTGGCACATAAAAAGCTGCTTCTCTTGTCACCATTGGAGACTGCCTTATAGTTGGTCAGTCATGACTTTTTATGGTTTTACACAGCTTCTCTGGAGATGGAGGGACAAACCTTAGCACTTCTCATTAAGCTGTTATCTAAGTCAGCATTGTTCTAAGGAATTAGGAGGAGAGGCTGAATTTTCACAGGAGGACCCTTGATGCTATGGGTTTAATGGAATGGTCTACTTCCTACTATTTGATGCTCAAATACAGTGAAGCAACCACTGTATTTTCTTTAACTGTTTTTTAAAAATAAAATAAAATACAAGGATCACAAGAGATTATCCCACAAACTTACTATGAAACAGTGGTGGGATTCAGCCAGTTCGCACTGGTTTGAGCGAACCAGTTGTTAAATTACCCGCTCCCTCTATCAAACTGGATTCTGGGTGCTATGCTGTGTTGCAATGAGAAAGAGCAATGGAGCAGCTGGTGTGACGGAAGGAGAAGGCCACTTTCCCTCTTTTTTCTCTCTGTTACTCCTCCTTCCCACATGCCGACTGTTGCCCATTTCTCCATTACAGCACAGTATAGCACCCAGGATTCACTTTAATAGCGGGAGGGGTAATTTAACAACTGGTTTGCCGAGGGGCAGGTTGGCAGTTGTGGGAGGCTCGTCCCACATGTGCAGCAGCTGGAGGACCAGGATGGGCCACACCTCCCACGACAGCCAACCTGACCCTGGGTGAACCGGTTGTTGAATTATCTGAATCCCACTACTGCTATGAAACCATTATTCAGCATGCACATATTGGCACACACACCTTATGCAGCTCAAGAGGAGTCGGAGACATGATTTCTTGAATCTCATCCTTTATTGTCTTTATCTCCAAATTCTTGTCATTCTTAGTTGGGGTCACATTGTTGTTGTCCTGCACTTCAACTGAGCTTTTCGGGTTGCTTTTCCTTGCTGGGCTCAGTCCTGACTGATTCACAGAGTTTTTGGGCAATTTGCCCCCATCAAGGCTCAGATTATGTACACTGCCAGACATGATGGATGCCTAAAGGAAACAAAAACAAAGAAAAACAATAGAATGGGATCAGACATTACAAGAAAAACAGTAAACAGTTCAATCCAAGAATCTCCAAGACTGCCCCCACTCACAAGACACCAGAATATAAATTGACAGAAGACATCACTCCTTACTAGCACTGATGTTATTACCTAGTTAGGGTGATGAAACATCTACAAGAAAATAAGGAAGCTCAGAGAACACCAAGGACCCCTCATTTCAATCCTGGGCTACAAACATTCTCCTTTATTGATATTGAAAAAAAAAATGACGTCTTCTGGATTTCATGTTGATATAAAAATGAAAACCTTCAACACTACAGATGTTAAATTCTGCCTTTCTCCGACCTGCTAAGGTAATCTCACATTTTGCCAGCTCTTTTATATACCTAGCATTCTCTCCTTCAAGAGAGGCAAGAAAACACTGGAAAAACAAAGATATTCCAAGACATTTTAGGACACAATGATCAATTTGCTACTGAATGGTAATTTCTTTCTCCATGGGATTCTCTGGCGATGAGAAATATCCATCGGGACACACAGTCAACAGAGTATTTGAAGACAAACAGTGTTGCAGTGTTCCCAGTCGTGTTGCCCTGTGTGCAAAGTTACTGTCCTTGGGCTTAGAAGAAATTTGATTGTTCCAAACAAGTCATGAGTCAACTTTTAAGTTGAAAAAGGATTGCAAATCGAGATTTTTTCTGAAACAATGCTATGACAGGCATGTGAAGAAGCTTGAAAAAGGTTATAAAAGGTTGTTCTGAATTTTGGGGAACAGTTTATATTCTACAACCTATCCGACAGTTTGTTGCTTTCTTTATATCTGTGGCCCTTGATCTGTGGTCTGTGGACCACTGGTGAGTCCACCTGTTGATCTGGTCTGTAGCTTTCTCTGTAATCAGCTCCAGTCAGCTGGCCTAAGTCTTGTCTTCTTCCCACATCCTCCTCCTCCTCCTCATTATCATCATCATCATCATCATTCATCGCACTGTCAGCCAGATGTTCAGATTGGGTTTGGCATTTTTGTCTACCTACTGAGTCCTTACCAAGGACCTGGGATAGGCAAACCTGGAAGTTTGATGGTGTTACACATATCACCGCAGGATGGAAGTTGTTCCAACTAAAGCTGCCTTCTGCAATTGACTGATGGCATATTTGTCAATGCCTATGGTGTTCAAGTCGTGCTCCAGTTGTTTGGGACTGCACCCAAGGTGCCTATTACTATTGGTATTACCCTTGCTTGCCTATGCCATAGTCGTTCTATTTCTGTTTGAGGACTTTGTATTTTGTTATCTTCTCCAGTTCTTTCTCTTCTCTTCTGCTGTCTCCAGGCACTGCCACATCCACTATCCAGACTTTTTTTGTCTTTCTTATTGACAACTGTTAAGTCCAGGGTGTTATGTGGTAGGTGTCTGTCTGTCTGTCTGTCTGTCTGATGATGATTATTAAAAAGCCTAAGGAAAGGATCAAAGGAAAGTCATAGTGAATTCTTTGTCACTATGAGGTAGTCAAGAACTGCTTAGCAATAACAGAAAAACAAAGTTATTCTGAGTAACAGGGAGTGGTTTAGATGAGTGCATGTCTGAAAATAACTGAACAGCAAATTCAACTGAAAAAGCATGTACTCAATGACAACGCTCATGAATAGTGTAGGGAATGCTGAAGGAAGTAACAGCAGGGAGAATGGAGTCAAGAAGTTCACCAGAAAACTTCTGATCAAGGCTGTCTACTTGCTGCACACCATCTTCCTTTACTCCACATCAAAGCCTGGCAGCCTGGTTGTGGGGTGGTATGTATGTTTCTGTGCCTGAGTAGGAATTGATTGTTAAAACTACAGAAATAAACAGAATGTTTTTGTTGTTTATTTCTTGCATCTCATATCTATTGTTGCCCCCTAACCTTTTACAGCATTCGTCCCTAGGTGCAACTGCCTCTGTATCTTGATGTGGAAAGAAAGAAGGCTTAGCACAGTCCCCTGGAATTCCCTTGTTATTGTCAGCTCCTTTGATGCCATGAGAATCTCCAGGGCAACCCTTCACATTTCCATTAAGAGATTTCTCTCTGTGGAACACACAGACCGGTATCAGACATTTTATGAAGCATTTTTCTTAGTCCTACATGGAGTAGTCCTTGAGATGGTAACATTAACAGGAGGGGTAGGAAATTGCAATATTGCCAAACTGTCCGCTTTTTACAAAGTTATGGATTAGTGCTGGGGTCTTCTGTTTCTAGTTTATCCAAGCATTTTTTTAAAAAAACATGTTTGTAGGGTTCTTTGTTCCTGTTACTTATCATGCTGGACTGTAGTTAGTCATTTGCAAAAAGGGATTCATTTGAAAACTGTTTCACTGAAGCCCAAAAATACCATTGTAGCATTGTGGGTACTAAAATACGGGAAACTGACAATACAAATAAATCTTCAGAGCTGTTAAAAATGTTAAGTCCACCTTGAGTTAAATATAACTGTGATCTCACAAAGGCAACAAAAAAACAAATGTACAAATAGGGAATGCAGTGATGAAGATCCCAAACTACACTTTCATTGGGCTGGAAAGCATTTGGCCCCAATCTTCTGTGTTTATATGGCAAGTGGTGCATAAAGTAAATCAATGAGCAAATCAATACTTGAAGAGAGTTTTTTTTTTTTTAACAAAATTTAGTTTTAAGAAAACTTTTAAAATAGAGAGGATGAGAAGATATAAACAAAGACACCCACAAGGCATCCATAATCATTATTTTGTTTGCTTAAACAGATGTCATGTTCCAAACAAGTCTCATATTTTTCAAGCCAAAAAACATTGGGAAGGAATGTTGGTTTAATTGGCAGGTCCCTGCATTTTCTGAACATCCATTTCATGGTCCATGATGGCAGAAAGTGTGAGAAGGACTACTTTACGCTCAGAAACCAAGCGTACCTGTAAGTTACTTAAAACCTTACTTTGAAGGGAAACACACAATTGTTTGGACCACTATACAGAGTACAGGTAATCCTCAACTTATGACCAGAATTGAGCCCAAAATTACTCTTGCTAAGTAAGATAGTTGTTAAGCGAATTTTTCAACCTTGCTTGCCATAGTTGTCAAGTGAATCACTGCAGTTGTTAAGTTAGCAACATGGTTGTTAAATGAATCAGGCTTCCCCACTGAGCTTGCTTATCAGAAGGTGATCCCATGGTCCCAGGATACTCAACCATCCTAAATCTGAGTTAATTGCCAAGCGTCTGAATTTTGATTGTGTAACCATGGGAATGCTTCAGCGGCCATAAGTGGGGAAAATGCTTTTAGGATAGAATAGAATAACCGAGTTGGAAGGGACCTACACCACTTCAGACAAACGGTTGTCCAACATCTTTTAAAAAACTTCCAGTGTTGGAGCATTCACAACTTCTGGAGGCAAGTTGTTCCACTGGTTAATTGTTCTAACTGTTGGGAAATGTCTCCTTAATTCTAGGTTGCTTCTCTCCTTGATTAGTTTCCACCATTGCTTCTTGTCCTGCCCTCAGGTGCTTTGGAGAAGAGCTTGACTACCTCTTCTTTGTGGCAGCCCCTGAGATATTGGAACATTACTATCATGTCTCCCCTAGTCCTTCTATTCATGAGACTAGACATACCCAGTTCCTGCAACCATTCTTCATATGTTTTAGCCTCTAGTCCCCTAATCATCTTTGTTGCTCTTCTCTGCACTCTTTTTTTTCAATGCCGTTGTCATTTTGAACAGTCCTTGCATGAACTGCTGTAAATCGAGGACTACTGTACTTGTAAAGGTAATACAAGTTGTTGGTCCTCCCTTTGCTCTCTGCTCTCTACACCATGGGTTGAGACATGCTCACAAGCACAAAGGGGGAAAAAAATGTTAGGCACAGCCGTTTTTCGAAGATTCATTACCTCAATCTCCCTCAAAAGTTCCGATTGGCCGCATGTTTCCAAGTCCTCCAAAGCTTCTCCAAAAACGCGCCAAAAATTATCCTCATGTGGCATCTCAAGGCCATTTTGGCGGGTGGGATATCTGTTGTAACGTAGGAACCAAAGATTGTCAGCACTCTTCTGGAGCAGGATGGAAGCTTCAAGGCTACAGCAATTGGCTCGCCAGTAAAAGCAGAGACTTGGCAGAGTCTTCATATACAAAAGCAAACAACATGAATTTTTCAGGCAAGAAAGAGTCCAAATACAGAACCTCCATGCAACTTTCACTAACGGGGCAAAAGTCCTTGAAAAGGAAGAATTAAACTGGAGTAGCAATGCCAAGTTCAAGAGGGTAAATTAAGAAGTGCCTGTAGGAAGATTGTAGGTTTAGGAAGACGTGGTAGGGTGGTTTTTTTTTTTTTTTTTTTTTGTGAAATAGAGAAGTAAAAGGAAAAAAAAGATGCATGATGGATAAACCAGGAGCCTCAGAGACTGTTAGTACAAAGGCGGATGGGACAGAATTCAGATCTGAGACACAGAACACCTGAGAAGAGAGAGAAAAACACAGAGGGTAACGGACATGGTGAAAAAATGGTAAATACATCAGGTCTCTAGGGGAGCATATCATGTAAAAAAGATGTATATAAAAATGATTTTCTCTAGATTAGACAAGCAATTAAATGCAGGTTGTCCTCGACTTACAACCACAATTGAGCCCAAAATTTATGTTGCTAGGTGAGACAGTTAAGTGATTTTTGCCCCATTTTACAACCTTTCCTGCCACAGTGAATCACTGAAATTATTTAGGTAGTACCAGGATTGTTTACACTGACAATTGTGAAGTGAATCTGGTTTCCCCATTGACTTTGCTTTTCAGAAGATCTCCCAAAAGGGATCACATGACCCTGGGATCCTGCAACCGTCATAACTATGAGCCAGTTGCCAAACGTTTGAATTTTGATCACATAACCATGGGGATGGCGCAATGGTCATAAGTGTGAAAAACTTTTTACAGTGCCGTTGTAACTTCAAATGGTCAGTAAATGAACTGTCATTAAGTTGAGGACTACCTGCAATTACCATGGCTTCAAACAGAAGGCTGATTAGGGCCTGTATGTAAAAACCACATAGGTTTCAATTCTTACGTTCATTGTTCAGGATTTTTATTTCCAACAGTTTACACCTCAAAACTATGGTGAAAAGTATATTCTGGTAGAGCAGAAAAAGTTGTGCTTATTGTTATCCATCCCTCTTCAAAAATAAATAAATAGGTGGGTAAATCAGCAACCCCTAGTCCAATCATCTGAGGTAACTTTCCCACATGCATTCTCACAGGTGTTTGGGCTGCAGCTCCCAGAATTCCTAGCCATCATCCTCAATGGCTGGCAGGGGAATTCTGGAAGCTGTAGTTAACAAAACCAGTCAACACCAGTTTGGATGAGGCAGAATAAATAAATAAATAAATCAAATAATTAAATTAAATAATTAAACAAATAAACAAACAAATAAATAAATAAAACCCAACTAGGATATTAGAATATGGAATAACCAAGAAGGGCTAAGAACTTCCAAGGGCAAACAGCCCCATGGCTAAGATGTGTCTTAAGACAGGGGTCCCCAACCACCGGTCCCTGGACCGGTACCGGTCCGTGGAACATTTTCTACCAGGCCGCCGGTTTGCTGGGTGCCGCCATCTTGTGTCGATGAGAAAGTTTTTTTTAAAGACTCCAATTTTTCTTCTTTCCTTTCTCCCAAAATGAAAATACAAAAAATGAACTGCATAAAGTTCTGCTACAGCAGGCATTCGTTCCCCCAAAAAGGAACTCACAAATTACAGAACAAAAAAAAAGATAGAGGTAGGATCAGGATATAGGCAGACGCAAAACTTTATATGCAAAAAATAGCCAATCTGGGCGGTTAGCCCTGAGGAAAGTGTGGGGGGGGCGGGGAATGGTAACAGCCGGCATGCATTTTTCAAAAGAACCACAAAGGCTGCTGAGCCCTGGACAGAAAGAGTGAGCCGAGTAACATTTTGTTGCTTCCTGATTGACTAATTTCAAGCTCCCAGCTGCACTAATTGGGCAGCGCCGTGTCGCTCATGTGACCTCCAGGAGCGAGATTAAATTCAAACGGCCGTGTAGGAGGATATCAGGGAGTCGGTTGCGCCGCTTCTGCGGGAGAATCTTTTCGTTGCAAGGCAAGCGGGTGGGTAAGCGCCGTGAGGTGGGAGGGGTCAGATGAGGTGCCGCTGTTAAAAAAAAAACTGAGTGAAAACAAATTTAATTTGGATTTAGTGGAAGGACAAGTTTTCCACTTTGTTGGATGGGTTCTAGTTGAACAAATGAAGCTGAAAAAGGGGGCTCTTGCTTTGGGATCGCTCGGCTTGCCTTGTCATGTGTGCTGATGCCAGTACCGGGCCGCGGATCATTTTGTGATGCCGGTACTGGGCCGTGGCACAAAAAAAGTTGGGGACCACTGTCTTAAGATACTCTGTTCTGTTGGGGACAAAGCCACTCTCAATATGTAGTTCCCCTCAGATTCGGTTACACTGTAATTTACCAAAATATACAGCTGGAACTGGGCAAACAAACAGGACCAGATTTAATTCTTGAGGGCTTGAAAATTGAGTGGCAGAAAGAAATGGAAAGAAAGAAATTCTAGCTGTCCCCAAATTGTATTGCAATGTTTTACTTTTTACTCTCTTCTAAGAGATAAGAGGCTGCCATTTCCTAGAAAGGAAGGAGGGAAGGAAGGAAGGAAGGAAGGAAGGGAGGGAGGGAGGGAGGGAGAGAGAGAGAGAGAGAGAGAAAGAAAGAAAGAAAGAAAGAAAGAAAGAAAGAAAGAAAGAAAGAAAGAAAGAAAGAAAGAAAGAAAGAAAGAAAGAAAGAAAGAAAGAAAGGCCTTACATTTAAGAAGAATTGTGCCAAAGAAAGCAAAATCTTTTCTGCAACCCTAACATGAGATGAACTGGATTTCAGTGCCAGGAAAAGCAAGGAGCTTTGATTCACCTGGGTAAACAAACAATTTTTACTTTAGTCAGTTTTCTAAGCCAGAGAAACCAGACAGCAAGCCCTGGCATTCTTCCTCCAAGACACCCCAGACCAGATTTAGGCGTCGTTTCTTAGTTTTGATTGAAAGGGAAAACAGGAATTACAAATAAACTAAAGTCATGAAATGGTTTTGGAAATCCATGCCAAGGGAATGATTATTGTTTTAATTGTTTAACACTACAAAAAACTGTGACACAAATAGACAGAATGTTGAACTGAGATTAAAAAAAAAACATTTTATGCCACTGCCTTTTGTTGTCCTTGTAACAGCCTCAATTCAATCTCTTTCTCCCACCACCCGCCAATCCTCAGTTATGGAGTTCTTTTGTCTCAGACTGCCTTTGCCTTCATGTCCATCCACCATGTTGGCATTTCAGAATTCCACCTCAAAGATTTATGATCCAAACAATTTGAGGCCCTTTGGCTGAAGACCATTCTTAAATGGAGTATCCTCAAGATATCAAAACCAATTCTATCCCCTTGGCAGCTTCAAGCAACTGAACCAACAAAACTTTGAAAACTGGATAAAAATAAAACTAGGTAACATAGTTTAATCTCGATTCTGGAAGTCTCTGCTAATGTATATAGAGAGCACTGCAATCGACAAGGATGACTGGAAGTTAGCTTTCAGTGTGGGGACATTGCTTTGCACGTTTTTTTCTAAGTGTACTACATTTTCTTTACATAAACAAACAAGTAGAAAATAGATAATTTTAGACATATAACCATGAAATCTGAATAATTTTAACACCGGGACAAAGACGTCACAAGATGTGGTCAGAAAAGTCAAGATGGGGTCCATGACAATGTGAGCAGGACTTCACCCATTTTGGGAGTGTGACACATACAAAAAAACAACAACCCAGGTGGAGCTTTAATCCCATTGTTGTGGCTGCCATCTTGACTTTTTGAGCCATACCTGACAGACACCCTTGCAGCTGACCATTACAGTCTAGATGCTCCAAGATCAGATGTAGAACACTGAATAACAAGAGTATCATTATCCAAGCAATATGGCAGAATAGAAACTGGAACATTGAAAGGAGGCCAAATGTTGACTTCAGAACATCAAGTACATTTTATTCCACACAAAATGGAGTGAAGACAAGAGGGAAGTAAATGACAAAAGCAGCATTTGTCTCTTTTGGACATTTTGCATTGTGATGATAAGATGCTGCTTTCATCATTTTGCCGAAACCAATGGATTCTGAGGATGCTTAGGGCTGCTGTTCCACTTGCAACCTCCATTGTGTTCACAAAACACAAACACAAGTTTAGTTCTGTGTAATATATTCCATTTTCAGAAAAGTAGAAATAGATCTAAGCACTTTAGAGATAAATTCACTATACTCCTGATTACCATCTTGTGGAGGTAAAAACATTCATATTGATAGAAATCCATGAATGTAAGAATGTGATGAAATTCTGACTGGCATGAACAATAGAGGCCTTAATTGGAAGGCAGTATTCAGCTTCTTACAGTAATTGTTGACCTCTTTCACCCACAGGGATCATTAGACATCATCTTTCGGGGGGAAATGTCTTTTCACAGGATTGTATATTTGAAAAAAGCCAAGCCAATTGATATGCAACTGTGTTAATAAAAATCTGTTTGTGCCTCTAACAGCATATGTCTTTAAGGGTACATAGTATATGGAGGTTCTTGAAAGTAGAATGCAGTAATTCCCTTGGAAGCAAATTTCCATCATTTCATGAGAATTACCGGATTCTGAATTGTTAATTCCTTTTCACTTAATGAATGTTTGGATGTTTCACCCTCCTGCGCATGTACACATCACAACTTTTCACTGATGTTTCCTATCAACTTTTAATTCAGCAAAGCCACTACTTTTAATGCTTTAATAATCATTTGTGCTGACAGTGAGAATTAAGAGTTTGGAGGAGAAGAGGCTCATTGAAAGCCTATTCCATTGCAATGAATCATTTCAATTATGCTTAAAACAAGCATGCCCGGATGTTTGATTCCTGCAATAGATAGCAATATGCATTCATTTCTCCCCTGTCCTTCCCCCCAAAAGAGCCAGACATACCTGCTTGGCTTCTCCCAGTCTTCCTCATTGAAACCGCCATGTGTAAAAGGGTAGCTCTTCCTGGAGTCTCCAGGAGGGGTGCTGCTTTTCTGCCTGCTGGATCTCCATTCATGGGGATGAAGTGCAATGCCGACAGCCTGAGGCAAGTAGGTGCCTACTGGAATTGGGGAAGTGGGGAAAGATGACAAGAAAAGGAAGGAGATTATTTGATTGCTACTGCTAAGAAAATTATACTGGATGAGAAGTCCATTGCTATGTTTTCATTCATGGAATGGCTTCTTGTCAGCAAAACTGGAAATGAAGTGTGGGATTGACCTGAACACTACAAAAAGCTCTTCTTGTCTCTTAAAGAAATGTTAGATATGCTGGAGAGCTGTGAAAGTGAAAAAATGTTCCAGCCAAACCAGACAGGATTTTCTCCAGCAAAGCATCTAGAGGAAGATTCTTCTACTACTACTACTACTACTACTACTACTACTACTACCAACAACAACAACAATAATAATAATCTGAAAGTGATATGAGTTGACTGTAAAAATCTTGCCCTGCTAGCAACTACTATGACTTCCTGTAGCAACGACTATGATTGACTTGTTGTAATCTTATATTACCTTAAAAGCTTTTAATAACAGGATGGGAATCTGATCCTTTTGCTACTAGACATACTGGTTGGGACTGGGGTGAGGGGTGGTGGTGGAGGGAGGATCTACATCATGCTTGCCTTAAATACTACTCAACCCATCCCTCAGTTCTATAACAATCCAGGATTGTTCCAAAGGATCAGAAAGTGGTGGGAGGGCGGGAGAGGATTAAATAACTAGCTAGCCAACCAGACAATTTCCTATTTGTTCAAAACTGAAGTGAACTGATTTATTTAAGCATTCATCATTGCTAAGGAATGGGTTTATTACTACCAGAAAGGTTTTAAGGAAACTTTCTCAGGATCGGATTGCAAAACTGGAAGGGGCGGGGAATATGCCTGGACTCAAGATAATAATGAAAAAGCAGGGAAGCAAAGTTGAGAAAAATACAAAAACAGAAGGATGCAAAATGATGATGAGGCAGAAAATGCCATTTTCAGATGAGCTGACTAGCAGGCTCCTCATTCTGCTACAGCTTGTGATGGGGAGCATTCCGAAGCATGTGTTTTCTTCCCCTAGTGTATATGTTGTCCATTTATTTGCTCATGGTACACAATGTCCCCCTGAAAAAATGTTTAAGTCTGTTAGTTAATATTAAAAAGTTGTTGACAGAAGGATCTGTGGCGAGGAGATTTTTTTTAAAAAAAAAAGTCAAGAGAGTCACCATAACTATGCAATCAAAGCTCTGCTCTTTTATGCAATTACTCCAGTCACTCTTTTGCTCATTTTTGCCAGGGTTTCAAGGCAACAAAATATGCTTCATATTCTTTTCCAATGATGTTTCCAGAAAAATAATTATGTGAAGTAGGGAAGGAAAGTAGCTAGTGCAGGGGTGTCAAACTTGCGGCATCACATTTTTCTCATGTGATGTATCATGACTTTTCCCCCTTCGCTAAAATGGGGATGGGCGTGGCCAGAGCATGACTCATCCGGCCTGCGGCCCGCAAGTTTGACACCCCTGACCTAGTGGGATTTTATGGTTTGGAATGAACTTTTAACCTTCAGTTTTGGATTATTATATCCCATGTCCTAGCCTAGGGGTGCGGATGCACCGTGCACAGGCCCTGCCCACCCCAGCTCCACGAATGGGAAAAATGTCATGAAACATCATGTGATGGCAACATGATGCTGCAAGTTTAACACCCGTCTCCTAACCACATCACCTTGATCAGTTTTCTTTGGCAGCTGGCTTGAAAGGAGTGGAGGAGTGCCATCCACAGCATTCCCAATACTTAGGATAGGGAGACTGCCAAAACAATTGTTCATTCCACATACAAACATCCATAAACAAAGTGTATATCTTTGTAGAATCAATCATAGCATCCATGAAAACAAGAGAAATTTATAGAGTGGAATAATAAAAGATCCAGATTGAATTTAATATTGTGATTTGCATGCCTCATCACTACATCCCAAATTGCGATAGTCAACAAAGAATTCTATATCCTAAAATTATTCTGACCTGGTCAAATAGAAAAGAAAAAGAGAACATTTCTTATCTTCTTGACAAAAAAAGAGAAAAAAAGTACAGGCCAATTGCAGAATGTATTGTGCCGTGTATTCATCACGCCTAGTATTAATATCTATTTAGGTATGTATAACACATACCTCTTGTTTTCATCATTCCCCCATCTTCTATCATTCCCATCCACCATGACCTTGTCACACTAGCGGGAAACTATGAGAATTGTAGTGCAATGAAATTGGAGAGAGGGCCAGGTACAGAAGACTAACCTTTGAAGGCATTCTGGTGAATGTATTACTTATACATTTGTAAAGTAAATATTATCCTTTGTTAAGCAATGTATTGAAATACATCCCATTGGCCAAGGCCATAGAAGAGAGTGTACACTGCTGCAGGTGCAATTTTGTGTGAGACCAGCACAAGTTGTCACGCTTGTATAAACCCTATAAACTTAATATACCCCTTTCCAACATTACTGGGGCAAATGGTCGCCATCTGTTGGGAGTACAGGGAACTGATATTTGTTTGGTATTTTGATAATCTTTATTTTAAGGTTTTGAGGGACCTACTTCACAATAATATCAATGGTAAGTACAGCAGGGATATGGTCAGTCTAGTCCAACAGACACATTGTTTTTTGAAAGACCCTCAAAAATCCACAATGTAGTTGTAGGATACAAATATCAGAAATGAATTGCAATAAAAGGGGTGTTGACGCACATACTCATACAAAGGAATAGGAAGTTCAACTCACCTTGGCTTCCATAGCCTGTGTCAATACCCGAACCATCCCAGGATTCCATAGCACTATCCACACTAGGGATTGTGGTAGAATACACCTCAGAGAGCTTGCTAGTTTTCTGAGACTCAGTCAAATCATCCTCTAGGTCACTAACCTCAGTCATATTCCCAGATTTTTGAGGAAAAGTCCCTGGAATCCAAAGAAAGATGCACACAGAGGCACAAAACATTAGTGATAATCCACAATGTGTTTGATGTCTTTTATACGGCATGTTATTATGACTACAAACTAATGTGCATAAGCTTCACAGGATGTGGGCTTAAGACCACATCTCACAGATGACACAGGATGCTTTGTGAAAGAGCTTTTCCTTTTTTTCTTAACTCTTTTGGTCTCAACCTGTGTGCCATAATTGATCAGAAATGCACAAACAGCACTTTTCTAGAGTTAAAAATGTCTGCTGTCATTATGACTGTAGGTACATTTACTTACAATTGAGTGAAGTCAACTAGAAACTGATTTCTAGGTAAATGATTTTTGCATATGATGATTGCATTTCTGAACATTTAAGCTAACATCATCTGAATAATTTGTTTTTAACCTTAGAATCTTTTCAAGCAACAAGACAAATATACATTTGTTATGAGGATGGATAAAGTTGTTTATGGTAACTACTGAAGTGGCACTGAAAATTCCAATTTGGGATACTTCTGAAGTTGCACAAGAACACCTGACTTTTCAGAGTTTTTAAGAGGTGAAATGGAATTTTATAAACTTCAGCAAGACTTTTTGTGTTGTCTACTTCATGGTTGCAAATGGGGTTCTGGAGGGCTGCACCAATACTCTAGAAATATAGCGTTTTAGATCTGCTGCCTATTAAGAGCAGATAGATACAAAGAATGAAACCCACATTTTAAATAAATATTTATTTTCTTTTCTACTTTTTTCTTTTCTCTATTTCTTCTTATGTAGTCACTATTTTACTTTCTTTCTTTTCTGAAATTTGAATTGTCTTTAAAAAAAATATCATTCATAAAAACTATATGAGAGAGACAGAGAGGGAGGGAGGGACAGAGAGAGAGACAGAGAGAGAGAGACAGAGACAGAGAGACAGAGGAAGAGGGAGATGGAGAGAAAGAATGAATGTGCATGCCCCAGTTTGGTGTAGTCATTACAGGTATCAGACTAGAAATCGGGAGACAGTGAGTTCTAGTCACGTCTTAGACTGGGGTGTCAAACTTGAGGCCCATGGGCCAGATGCAGCCTGTGGGGTGCTTAGATCCTGGAAACAACAAACAACCGGCCTGCAATGCCTCTGCCAGCGAAAACAGAGATCTCCCAAGCTCCATTTTTGCTGGCAGAGGGCTGCAGGAGGCCACCACAGGTGCGACCCCATAAGTGACATCAAGCTGGCCACTCCCTCCAGCCACTCCCACCCCCACGAGGTCAAACACAACCCCGATGTGGCCCTCAATGAAATTGAGCTTGATATCTCTGCCTTAGGCACAAAGGTAGCTGGGTGACCTTGGGCCAGTCACTTTCTCTCAGCATTAGAGAGAATGTAATGGCAAACCCCTTGCCAACTACTGCAGCATTATGAAGTCAGAAGAAAGAAACTCTCTCTTCAGAGTCTGATATGTGATATTTGAGCATCGGATTTGACAGGGACCTAATCCTGTCTTTTTCTATAACACCGTTCTCATCATCTTTTTTTTTTTTTTTCGGCGATATAATGCTGGATCAAAACAAGAGTGCTTGCTAAGTTTTGAAAAAGACAGGAAAATGTTACACCGAAAGAACAATAAATGTCCCTGGCTTTTTACATTAGAATTGAAATACATACATGTGCGCTGCATGCAAATGATACAGCTTAGCACTTAGTCAGCTTCTTAAATGAGAACCTGAAGCTACTATATAATGATGGCGTCGATCAGTGGATCACTGCTGCTCTGTGTTAATTTTCCCCCACTCCTTGTTTTAAAGAAATCTTCCAAGGAGCTTTTAATGCTCTACAAATCAAGAGTGCAGTGCCTTGAGCTGTTGAGTGTGCATTTTTCAATGTTCCACCAATATTATCTCATTGATCTGAATTGTTCTTTTACTACTCATCAAAATAACAAAAATGCACTTTCTTTATGGTTATGAAATACATGGAATGACATCACGTCTCTTCTAAAGAACATTAGAGTCACTTGGCTGAGATGAGCACCTATAGAAATTGAATAAATAAATAAATTAAAGGCAAGAAAACTTGTATGAGAGAAAAACATTGCATTACACTTTCTTTTAAAAGTTCAGAGAAAGTGTGAAATTCAGAGAAAAAAAACCCTCTTTTCTCTGCATCCTTAAGGGACAGGCATACAGGTAGTCCTCAATGGATGACCACAATTGAGCCCAAAATTTGTGTTGCCAAGCGAGACACTTGTTAAGTGAGTCTTTCCTGATTTTATGATCTTTCTTGCCACAGTTGTTAACGTGAATCTTGTTAAATTAGTAACCTGGTTGTTAAGTGAATCTGGATTCCTCATTGACATTGCCTGTCAGGTCACAAAAGGCAATCACATGACACTGCAACCGTCATAAATATGAGTCAGTTGCCAAGCATCTGAATTTTGATCACACGACCATGAGGATGCTTTAATGGTTTTAAGCAGAGGTTGTATTCAGCAGGTTCTGACCAGTTCTGGAGAACAGGTAGTAGTTCGGAGAACTGGCAAATATCACCTTTGACTGGCCCTGCCCCCATCTATTCTCTGCTTCCCAAGTCCCAGCTGATTGGCTGGGTCTTCTTTTGTTGCCCTGCACAGGAGAACGGAGCTGGAAAGCAGGTAAGTAGGGAGGGGAGGGAATGGGATTTTGTAGTGTCCTTCCCTCAGGAGTGAGGAGGGAATGGAGATTTTACAGTATCCTTCCCCTGCCATGCCCACCAAGCCACACCCACCGAGCCAAGCCACGCCATGCATACCAAGCCATGCCTACAGAACTGGTAGTAATTTTTTTTTAATCCCACCACTGGTTTTAAGTGTGAAAAACCAGCATAAGTTTTTTTTTTCCAGTGATTTCGTAACTTCAAATGGTCACAAACAAACTGTTATAAGTCGAGGACTACCTGTAATTCAGAGCAATATTGATTTAAACCAATTAATTAACAAAATTAAAAACTTACTTTCGGTTTGCTTTTTGATCTTTAGCGTTACTGTCTCTCCAGCCATTTGGAGTAGATGAATGGCTTCGCTCAGGGGCTTCCCTTTAAGGCTGACATTATTAATGGCTAATATCCGGTCTCCTATGTGGATAGCTCCAGTTCTAAGGAAAAAGTAAAGGAAACTTCAGCTGTGATGCATGGCAGCAATTTCATTTAAAAATCCATCCATCTACTGTGAATTATAAGACAGAGAATACTATGGACATCAGAAGAAAAATATGAAAATAAAATCTGATATATAGATTTCTAGTCATTCATCATTTCCGTGATTTACATATATTGGGAAGAGACATTCTACTGTGTACATATTCTTACAATTCACATTAATAAGATAATAACCAAGAAATAATCCAACAACTTGATATCAGGAATAAAATCTTATAAGAGTACAGTGATTTTAGCCTGGAGATTATTTATTTATTTATTTTGGCCATACCTTAAGAAAGAACCTAGAATTGGATGAAATGTCAAGATCTCATAATGGTTTAGCCGTGTTTTTTTTAATTTTTAAAAGGGCTTCAAACTTAGTTTTAGGATGCTTGGGATGGGGCTAAAGACTGCTGTGAGCAGAAGCATAAAACCTGAGTTCATTGAGGGCCGCATCAGAGTTAGGTTTGACCTTGGGGACCAGGGTGGGTGTGGCCAGGGTGGATGTGGCCCAGTTGATATCACTCATGTCAGGGGTGCAATGTTGTGGCCCTAGCACTCTGCCAGTGAAGACAGGCTCCTGTGTTCCATTTTCGGCTGCGACAGCCTCCTGCAGCCCTCTGCCAGCAAAAATGAAGCCCAGGTGGGCCATGTATCCTCCCCCAGGCCCCATTTCTGGCCATGACAGACCTCTGTTTTTACTGAAAGAGGGCTGCAGGAGGCTGTTGCAGCCGAAAACAGGGCCTGGGAGGGCCATGTGCGGCCATCTTGAGCTCTGTTTTTGCTGGCAGAGGCACTGCAGGTTGGTCCTTCACTGTCTCCAGGGCGGCCCCATGGACCAGATCTGAGCACCCCACAGGTGGGATCGGGCCCTTGGCCCTTGATTTTTGACACCCCTGCTGTAGAGGGTGAGGAAGATTGCCTTGATAGAGATATGCAAGATCCATTGTCTAGGCAATTGAAGACGGGCATAGAAAGGGACCTATTTGATGTTTGCAACATTCAGATCATATTCAGAAACAATTCACCCAATTTCACTGGAGTATACGGGGAGAAGGTATATCACAACCAGATTTTCAGGATTCTGTTATTATAGCTAAACTTAATAAAGTACGATTATGATTGTATGTGGATTTCATTTTCTACTGGGTCTGATGATGACCTTGGAGAAGCCATCCAGAAACCATTAAGACAACAACAGGTACAGAACTATGTGTTGAGCCCAGAGAGGCAAAACAATACTCAAAGACTCTTGACTTGTTCCCTCGGATTCCTGTGATATTAGACAAAGGGAAGGGAAAACACAGGCAGGCTTGTAAACATCTGTTATGATAATCTTTATCAATAAAATATTGTTCTAGTTTTCCTCTGGAGCCAGTGTTTTTTTTTTTTTTATTTAGCAGTGTTTCTCAACCTAAGCAACTTTAAGAGGGGTAGAAGTTGAAGACCTCCTCTCTTAAAATTGCTCAGGTTGAGACACACTTGCCCATGGAATAGGGTGGACAATGATTAACTCTTACAATATAGATTCCACTCACTTCTGGACACCTTCTACTGAATAGCAGCAGAAAGAGAGAGAAAAAAATCCCTAGCCTTTAGATCAGAGGTGGCCTTCAGCAGGTTCTGATCAGTTCTGGAGAACCCGTAGTGGAAATTTTGAGTAGTTTGAAGAACTGGTAGCAGAAATTTTGAGTGGTTTGGAATACCACCTCTGCCTGGCCCTGCGCCATCTATTCTCTGCCTCTCGAGTCCCAGCTGATCAGCTGGGTCTTCTTTTGTTGCTCTGCACAGGAGAATGGAGCTGGAAGGCAGGTTAGTGGCGCGGGGAGGGAATGTGTATTTTGCAGTATCCTTCCCCTGTCATGCCCACCAAGCCACGACCACAGAACCAGTCATAAAAATTGTTGAATCCCACCATTGCTTTAGATGTGCTTTCAGTCAGAAATGGAAAAAGAATAGCAGAATAATAATGGTTTTTAGGCACATTGCATCTATCAATCCCCCTGCACCCCCAGCAAAGGATCTTTCCTCCTATATTTAGGAAACACACAGGACTTTAGCGATAGATGCTGGCCCAAGAGTGTAATAAAATTGCTTTATTGGCCTAAGTCTTTCTTCCTGCATTATCTTTTATGGCTAATGATTTTTACTGAAGGCATGATGAACAAACAAAAGAACAACATTGGGTTTTCTGCTACAGAAAACCAAAGCTTTGTACCCTGACACGCAATTAATATTCCAAATCCTATCTGTGGACAAATTTGTATTATATTCCAGTGGTTAAAAGGTTTTGAATGGATTTTTGGAGAGAAGGGAGTTAGCACAATACACTACTGTATATTAATTTCATAACTAACCAATAGAGGTCACTGTGGCTCAGTCAAATAGCAAAACAAAGATATTCAATAGAGCAGTGTATTTTCAAAAAACTTTTATTTTACCCTTGGGTGGTGGACTTGAAGTGAAAAGCTCTAGTAGTCACAAGACTTTGAAGGGAAATTAAAATTTGGACGCTTCTGTAGTACTTTCTTGACTCCAACGCCAAAGAAATCCAGGCTATAGGATGACAGAAACAGGAGGAGTGGGGCTCCTGGGAATAGTGCAACAACTGCATTTTTAATCGGCCACCCTAAGATGGCACTGTTGGCTCAGAAAGATAACAGAAGCGGCTCGAGAATTAACTTAGTTTGGAATCATCAGGTCCTTAAGAAAGTCAAAAAGGCAAGGTAGAGATTCGGCCTTTACAAACCATGAATAATGGTCAGCATTTATTAGTTTGGTAGCATCCTAGGAATTCCGGCTAACTCCCTCGATTGAATTTCAAGATAAAATTTCTTGCTGCGTTAATGGAAATATGTCCTTATTCTTCTGCTGACCATTTTCTTATCTCATTTCTGCTATCAATTGTGGAAGTCTGGCCTACTCAGCATCTACAGAAACAAGACCGAGAACTCTGCAGACAAGGGTCTCAGAATAAGTCCCCCCCCCTCCAGCTTCTGCTCTACTGAGAATACATGTACGCTGAGGATATATCGTATGGAAAAAAAGTTAGATCTGTGTCCAAGGGACATCTGTACCTTGGAGTGGTGCTTCCTTTAGTGCAGGGGACCCCATCTCCCAAACCATGGCTTGGTACTGTTCCATGGCCTCTTAGGAACTGGGTGGTGCAAGTCAAGGGCAGATGTGTGAGTGCATGAAACTTCATTTGTGCAAGCAGTAGGTGCCCATGTGAAACTATCCCCTTTCTGCCCGCCCCCCTCTGGCACCACTGCTGGTCCATGGAGTTTGAAAGGTTGGGGACTGCTGATCTGGCATATCCTTCCTTCCTTCCTTCCTTCCTTCCTTCCTTCCTTCCTTCCTTCCTTCC